TATATATTTACATATCAAATTGCTAGAACGACACCAAATTTTCTGAAGATATATATAAAAATAGTTATGTTTAAAAAAAATACTATTATTTTTTATACTTCAATTGGGCATTTTTACAATAGCATTTCTTGAATGTCTTTTACAGATCATATCCAATATTTACATATTATATTATTCTCATTGATGTCTACAGCTATATATACTTTTTTATATTTTTATAAAAATTAATAAACTTTATTGTTTTTCATGTAATTAGCACAAATATTGTTTTTATGTTTATGCGTGTGTTATTTGTAAAATTATAACTTGAGTACAGATATATTATAGACTACCATATTGTTTCACGTATTTTAATATACATTGGTATAAAATTAATTATGAAAATGTGTATGAGTAATATTTAAATATTATAAGGTAACTAATAATGTATATAATTAGCATACTCATTTTTGTACCAATTCCTTTTTTTTCTGTATATCATATTATTTTTGTTAAGATTTCATATCTGAACACATTACACACAAGTGTAGAAGAACTCATTTATTGTTTGAACTTCTTATACATATATCTCTTAACATTATGTATGAAATTGCAAGAATTATGCTTATTAAATATATATACATTATTGATCTTTAAATTCCTTTCAACTTTTTTTAGAACTCTATTGGAATTAATCTATTTAATAAATCTTACATAGCATATGATCCTTTTTTCCTTTTAATATATACATATCTTTATCATTAATATTTCCTCTTAATATTCGAAACTATGTAGTTTATATTTTCTTATGCAATTGCACAAGAAAATATGTTTCACATATTTTAATTTAATATTTGTTATGACTTGTTTATCATTTGTTTTCACGTATTAAAAAATTTCCAATATTTGACCTAAAATTCAGCATAATAAAGTATGGAAATTAACATACCTTTATAATAATTTGTTTTATTGTAAGTTTTAAAAAAAAATGTATATACGTCATATAAAAGTTAGTAAATAAAAATTTTAAAAAAATGTCATCTGACAGATTTTAAAAAATTATAATTCCTGAAGTTTTATTAGTAATAGAAAAACTATTATAGTAATTTATATCACTTTGAATATACCTTATGTGTCACTTAAGTAAATACTCTATTTTAAAACAAACATTTTATATTATTATAACTAAAATAGTGTGCGTTACAGGTAAAATATTATGTCCATATATTAAACAAAATAATATATATAATATGTTCTACAAATCAGTGTATAACAGTTAAATTTTTATGCATAAATATATGGACTTAAATATGCACTACTTTATAATTTTTTCGGTATATATTGATACTTCTCATTAATGGTTTTTATAAAATTATATAATTGATTTTAGAAAAAATACGGGACAATAAGTATTAGTTTATTTTAAAAAAGAAATGTTAAATAAATATATGTATATGCATTTAATACATTAATTTAGATAAAATTTTCTGGGATTAGCCTACAAAAAATAACAAAATGACCCTCTTTATTAAATAGGGGTATAATAACTAATACAAACGTAAGGCAATATCATTATACAATATATATTTAGATGTTATTTGAAAATAATATATATTATAACATTAATGTTTTTCAATCTATATTTATAATATTCTAAATTACCGATTAGAATATACGTAATATATATGATGTAAATAAAAATTTATGTGTTGTAAAAAAATAAGAACCTTTTTTATATTCATTAACATTGTACTAAAACTCATAATTGAGTTACGTGTATTATAAAAATAATGCAGAATAGAGGCAGTACTATTCAAACTATTTTCATTTCTACATATTCCGTAAGGTTATCAATAGTAATTGTTCTAACTGTTTCCAAAAAATTATTTTTTTCAGAGTTCATGCATGTAAATATCATAATTGGATTTTTTTTTAAAAATACTAAAAAAAAAAAAATACGTTACTTACAGAAAAGCGTTCATAAGTTTCTTTATTTATATATCACATTTATTAATTCTTATTTAACTTATTTTGTGAATATGAATAATTATATGCAAATATTGTTCACATAGTCATATTATATGTAGCAAACAATAATACCACACAAATATAATTACCTATATGTATTTTTTTTCTAATTGTCACATATAATAAAATGGTCATTTTTATAATAAATTACGATTAAAAATAATAGTGTATTAATTTTTTTTGTTAATAAAAAATTTTTATTATTGTAAATTTTATTTTAATAATGTAAATATTAAACTTATTTAGAATTTTTCTATGTCTTATATAAATAAATATGTAGAGCATTATTAGTAATATTAAATTCTCATTATTTTATAATTTATGAAACAATTAAAAAATCCGTTTATAACTTTATTAATTTAAAAATATGTTATATAATATATATTTATATATATATATAAAAATAGACTTTAGTAATTTTTATTTTAAACATAGAACAACAAATAATCCCCTTGTAATATGAACAGATCAAGATTTTTTTTATAATATGTAGAATTATATAATTCATTGATTATAACTGTAAGCAACTAATAATTTTTCTATTAACTCTGTACTATTTTTAATATATGTAACATATACAGTGTCCATTAAAAGTAAAAAGTATAATTTTTTTTGTTTTTTTTTCAACTTATTCCATTATTTGCTTAAATAAATATTACTAGAATAACATTTTAATTTATAATTTTTTTAACAATAAATTTATTCAGAACTTATTTATAATTCAGCTAAATTTTATTAGAATACCCCATTGTATTTTATATATTTCTTCAAATTAAACATTAACAAAACTATTTTTTGTTTTCCACTGTAAATTCTATTAAAAAAAAAATTTGACATATAAAATTTTTAATGATGTTAATTAAATATTTGAAGCATTAATAACATATAGGTCTACAATAATTAAAAACGGTACTGTCCTCATAAGTTTTAAATATATAAATTGTTGCCTTATCCTTTTATTATGGAATATATAATTAACTAAAGAAGAACACCATGGCAGCAAAATTTTCTATGTTTCAACTTTTTATTAAAATTCTTGCAATTTTTCTTTTCGTAGAAGCATACCATTGTCGCAAGGATAATGTAAAAATATAATATTTCAAATTTCTTAACTTGTTTAATGATTTTTATTTTTTTTTTTTTATCATAATCTCTTATTATTACAGGCAATATTTTTACAACCAATATTTTTTTATATATATCCAATTTTAGGCGTGTCTCAATAAGTCAGCTTATAATGTAAATATATTGGATAATCCATTTAACTTAAAGGAAAATAAGTTATTATCAATATCTGAAGCAAAATGTCATTCAACAAATGATTACATAGAAAATAGACAAACGAGTAAAGAGGATGTGACAAAATTAATGATAAAAAAACTCTTCAAAAAAATGAGCATTTTGAAAAAACTGGATAAGCACTGCGAAAAAAAATTATTCAAGGCGTTTAGCGAAATACACAACACTATGCGAGATGATGACATTAATTCCAAAATATCGATTAAAAATGTTTTTAAAAATGTTTTTTCTATATTGGCTATACCTATTATTACATATTTGGTGGGGATTCTTATCTTAAAAATGGCATATGAATGGGAATTCTCTTTAACTTATGTTTCATATTTTTTTTTTGTATTACCTATATTTATGCTTATATATATTTTCGTAAAAATTTTAAAACGTAACTTGTTAAAAAAAGGGATATATAGAGCTACGTTTCGTCATTATATTTACGCTTTACAAAATATATTTAATTAATTTATATGATAGTTTAAATATTCACATGATATCATATATTTAATGCTAGTTTTGTGTATTTTTAACGTCTGCGGCCCCATATCAAAAATATTAAGATTTTATTTAAACAAAGTTAGTATATATACATATATATATAGTAAAAATAAAAAGTATATTGTTATTTTGTTCCTTATTTACCATACACTCACCTTCGTTAGTATGTATTAAATTTGTTTTTATATTACTTCTTTTATTATATGAGCTCTTTTTGTTTCATATATACACATAATTATGAATCACCTGCACTAC